AGGGGTCATCCCGACCCCCTGCCATTTGAGAAAGTTCTAATATCTTGTAAATGGTCGAGATCCCCACCCCTAAACCATATATATTCTGGTTTGTCATGATAAAGCACATCAAATGAAATACAGGGTTAGTCCCCAGGGGTCACCCCCACCCCCTGCCATTTAAGAAAGTTCTAATATCTTGTAATTGGTCAAGATCCCCACCCCTAAACCATATATATTCCTATTTGTCATGTCTCGAACATTTGAATGACGTATACGGTCAGTCCCCAGGGGTTCCCCCACCCCCAATGTTCTAATATCTTGTAAATGGTTGAGATCCCCACCCCTAAACCATATATATTCCTGTCCGTCATGTAACGAACATTTGAATGACGTATAGGGTCAGTCCCCAGGGGTTTCCCCCACCCCCAATGTTGTAGTATCTTGTAAATGGTCAAGATCCCCACCCTTAAACCATATATATTCTGGTTTGTCATGCCAAGATGATTTGAATGATATACAAGGTTAGTCCCCAGGCATCACTAATGCATATTACTTTACTGGACCAAACCAATTTTAACTGGGCGTTGCCCAATGTCAGGCGACCCTGGGAATTACGAATTATGGGAGCTTCGTTTGGGAGACTTCGTAACAGCATCCTGTTACAATCATTTCTTGTTATAGCTAAATCAATGACCAGATTAATGAAATATGTCAATTTCGTAAAACTTTATGTATAAGTGTTTTCATGACATCACAAATAACACAAATTCAGACTTTCAACAAACTTGAATGAAAACTTGTCAATATTAGATAGGAGACAATACAACTCGTATGTTGACAATAGAGAACTTTAAACATCAAATTGACCTTTCTGACTTTGATATTAAGTATGTTGAACCCTAAGCTCTGTTTTCAATTGTATTAATGTTGTGGAAACCCGGACGATTTCTCAACTTATTTTTATGCCCCATTTATTTTTTCTGATCTGTTCATCCGTTCCTCTGTCTGTCCCGCTTCAGGTTCAAGTTTTTGGTCAAGGTAGTTTTTGATGAAGTTGAAGTCCTATCAACTAGAAACTTTGTACACATGTTCCTTATGAATTTTATGATCTTTTTAATTTTAATGCTGAATTAGAGTTTTTACCCCAATTTCAAGGTCCACTGAATATTGAAAATGATAGTGCGATTGGGGCACTTGTGTATTATGGACACATTCTTGTTTTTGCCTGTTTTGTAAATGTCCACACTTAAGAAAACATGCATATAAACTTGAAAAAAAGCCTGTTCTTAACTTGCTTCTTATTTGGCTATAATAGCTGAAACAGTGAATTATTTCTATTTATTTTCTTTGTTACTGTAAATTTAGAAATTGTTAATATTTTTTTAAAATGAATAATTTAGTACTTTCTTTAAAAATCACAATTATAAATTGATGTAATAATTTCTGAATTTACAGTATCTCAATGATTTAAATTCATAATCAAAGTTTGTATAGTTTGACATGTGAATGTTATGTTAAAAAAAAGTGGGAAAGCAGAATATGTATTATATTCAATTTATTATATTTCAGTGTGAGGACCTACGTGGACAACCAGATGAACAGGCGTCTCCGACGAGTTGGTATGCCATACGGCTATGTGGCTCCACGAGTAGAGGCACCACGATGCTCTCGTCGTCTTTTAGGGTTGGAGCCTGAACCAGTACTTGTCCCAGTTGCCTCTCCTGAGCTGCCAAGAAATGATCAACCTGAACATTTCGAAGCAGTCGTACCTCGTGCACGATTATTCTCTGTCATGGTTCCTGAAGCAGCTATTCAAATTGCTGCTGAAGTTATCATTGACGAGGATGATATGGTTGAGGTGGAGTTAGCTGGCGAGGAGCTCTTGGTTCTGGAGTCAACTCTGGAGGAGGAAGAGGTCATTGAGCTGTCTGTGGAGGCCTCTGTGCTGTGTGGTATGGACACAACGGTGGAGGACCCAGCCGACTGGTTCCTGGAGGAGACTGTGTCTTTCCTGCCAACAGAGGAGGAGACTGTTGTGTTCGAGGAGGTAGTGGATGAGGATGCAACAACCAACCACGCTGAAGAGACTGTCTGGTATGGTCCTGAAGAGGTTGAGGTTCCAGCCACTCCAGTCACACCGTATGTTGTTATAGGTAATGATGTAGGTGTTCCTTTGGACTGGGAGGTGATCCCTGCTCCAGTGGTTGAGGTTGCTCCTGTCCCTGAGGCAGCTGGGTGGTTTGCTGGGTGGAGACAGGTGGCTAGAGTGCTAGGCTGCCTTGTTACTTCATACCAAACTGTCTCAGCTGTCTAATTTTTTGGTTAATTTTTGATAAATACATATACATTTTGTATATTTTCTTTAAAAAAAAAATTGGAAAAGTATAAATTTTTGTTTTAGTTTAAAAAAAAATGTTTGGAAAAGTATAAATTTTTGTTTTAGTTTAAAAAAAAATGTTTGGAAAAGCTATTTTTTGAAACTTGAAATTTTTGTTTTGATTTATGGTCATTCAGTTTATTTTTGAAAGATTTTCATTCTTTGCTAACTAACACAATTTCTTCAAAACTTCAAAATGAGTGTTTTAATAATTTTGGCTATTTAATCATTAAAGTTTTATGAAAATATTTTGTTTTAATTTAAATGAAAGTTGTTAATGTTTATTTTACTTAACTTGGAAATTTATAAAGAGTGTGTCTGTCTTTTTGTAACCACTGTTCTTTTTATCCAACACACGTTAAACTTTCAGGCTGGACAACTGTCAAAATGGATCACCATAATTATCAGTCAGGTCAAGGTCAATCAGTATAGATATCCAATCATTTCAGGTCAACATTTTCTTTTAAAGTTTGGTCATAGGTTAGAGGTTAAAAGTTCAGGTCAACATTGACAAGAATAGAATGTTCATTACTCCTTTAAAGGGTAGAGGTCTACTAGATTTAAGATCAAACTATTTGTAAGAATGGTTATTTGTAAGGTCAAAGACATGCAGTGTCAGGTCAAGGTCAATGTTTACTTCTACAGAATGATTATATCTGTTAGCAGGATCACAGATATGATTAATTGCTTAAAAGCAACAAGCACATGTAAGAAGCATATTCCTGCTAAACAGCTTTAAATATATGTGTACCTATTTTCACAAAAATAGCTCCCTTCCCCAAGGGTTGACTGGGGTATAAAAATATGGTCATCCCTTGGTCTTCTTCTGACCGGCAGTAAAACGCTTGCCAAAGATTAGCCACCGTTTAGTTAATACATAGCCACATCCTGTTAAAATTTAAAATTTAAAAGTTGCATGATTAATACCAGAGTAACTTTTAACCTGAAGTGTGACAGACGAACGAACAGACAAACAAAAGAACGGACCAACAAACAGACGACCGGGTTAGACCAGAAAACATAATGTCCATGTATGGGGCATAAAAATCCAGCATAACAGTGCAACATTCCATTTAGCTTTTGAAATTTTGACGAAAAATACAAAATGTTTCCTTTGACTCATTTAAAACATTAAATTGTCACCACCCTTTAGAAAGAAAATGAACATTAAAGTCCCCTACATAAATTTCATAGTTTAAATAAAGGAATTTTTTTCAGCAATTTTCACTTCTGGATGAAAGGATAAAATTACCACTTCTGTTTTATAATTCATTGAGAGCATTTATAAAAAGTAGCAGATCAGATGTAAAACAAAAAAAGAAAATATCACTAATTTCCTATTAAACATCCCAAAAATTTCGCATTTGTTCATTTTAACCTTGACCACTCTTTTAAAATTTAAAAAAATATTAAAAAAGGTTTCTGTATCTTAATTTGGCAGCTTCTGATAAATTAAAGAATACATTTGGTATTATTAACATCAATGAGGGATACTTAACAAACAACAAAAACAAGGCGTCTTTATGTCAACATAGTCTTCAACAAAGATAGGCATCTATACAATATGTTTAGTGTTTATAGTTCAAAATTAGTCGACAAAATTTACTAAATATCTATAAAGAAAAATGTCGACAAAATTTACTAAATATCTTTAAAGAAAAAAGTCGACAAAATTTACTAAATATCTTTGAAGAAAAAAGTCGACAAAATTTACTAAATATCTATAAAGAAAAAAGTCGACAAAATTTACTAAATATCTATAAAGAAAAAAGTCGACAAAATTTACTAAATATCTATAAAGAAAAAAGACGACAAAATTTACTAAATATCTTTAAAGAAAAAAGTCGACTAAATTTACTAAATATCTATAAAGAAAAAAGTCCACAAAATTTACTAAATATCTATAAAGAAAAAGTCAACTAAATTTACTAAATATCTATAAAGAAAAAAGTCGCCTAAATTAACTAAATATCTATAAAGAAAAGAGTAGACAAAATTTACTAAATATCTATAAAAAATAATAATAAAGCAAAATGATTAAAAATTCTTTTTTCTTGCAATTAAATAAGTTTATAAAGTTTTTAATTCAGCAAAAGATTTGGGCTTTCAACAACTTGATGTGAATGATATTGCATTATTATAGTGTCTGAGTACAACATTATTACATAACTTGCTGGGCTAAAATTTCTTTTTTAACTAAAATATAAAGTATATCCAAAGTTAACACTGGCAAGTCAAGTATAACAATGTATCTAACACTGCACAATCTGCATAAACCTGCATACCTGCATAGGATAATTAGCATTGCATATATAAATTAACATGTAAAGCTTATGCTGGCTTGCTGATGTTTTCTTTCATTGTTCTATTTAATTAACCCCTAGCCCAATATAGCAACATCTATTTAAAATTGACCTGGGACTTGGATTTTGGGCAGGTAGGGAGGAATAAGGGAAATACCTTGGCCTGGGATTTTAGGGCTTAAAGAAAGGGGAGGGGAAACCCAGGGACTCTGGTGAAGTGGGGAGATAAAAGGAGAGGGGAAACCCAGGGCCTGGTGTATTTGGGGAGATAAAAGAGGGAGGTTACATCCACGGCCTGGTGAACTGGGGGAGATAAAAGAGGGAATGGGAAAAGAGTTGCTGTCCATTGAATGAAGTAAGTTATGTGTTAATGTTGTATTCACATTGTTGTGATGATTTTATTGTTGCTTTGAAGTTTGTGGAGCACAAATACCCCAGTACTTTTGGATAAAAATGATAATGAAAAAATATTCCCGTTTAAACTTTCAGTTTTTAATAAAGATATTCCAGTGTTCAAATTAACCATTAAAGTGGTCTTTCTTAAAGTTGTCAAACAAGAACCAAAGTGTACCTTTTAAACTTTAAAATATCAATTGAACATTTAATTAGAAACCTTTGGTTTAAACATTTATGCGTGTTTCTGAATTCCTTTCATTAAAATTGAGTAAATAAAATCTCACTCTATTTAAACAATTTTGTGTTGTAAAAAAACCACAAAAACATACAATTAAGTACTTGACCTATAGTATAGAAACTTGTTTTTGTTGGAGACTATATTGACCTCTGGGGTCCAGGTTTTTTGTGTTGTTTAGTTGCTGTCTCAATAACATAATCCCTAAAATCATTTTCAATTAATCATAGACAAAGGACAAATTATAAAAAACCCAGAATAACCAAATCCTTCATATTAACTTATAATAACTGTTAAATTTTCCTTCAAATTAAATATATGTTTCACACATCTCCTTCGTTTAGATAAATTTTAAAGTGAAACAGAAAATGGAAGCCAAATATTTAAAATTTAGATTAATTGAAATAGCCTCCCTTCTTAAAAAAAAATATAGAACAAATTTTAACAGAAAAAAGGGGGACGGAAACCTAAAGATACAGAATTAAAATAAAGGGATAAAAAGATCCTCCGTCCTTTTCTAAACTTCTTTTTAAAGTTTTAAATTTGGTAAATTAGATGTTCCCTGAATTTAGAGTATCCATGGGAACATGTCCTATTTTTACCAGAAATCAATATACCCATAGGAACATTACGGTACATGTTCCTCTCCAAAGTAATAAAGGTATCCATTGGAACATCACATGTTCCTCTCCAAAGTAATGAAGGTATCCATAGGAACATCACATGTTCCTCTCCAAAGTAATGAAGGTATCCATTGGAACATCACGTTCCCCTCCAAAGTAATAAAGGTATCCATAGGAACATCACATGTTCCCGTCCAAAGTAATTAAGGTATCCATAGGAACATCACATGTTCCCGTCCAAAGTAATAAAGGTATCCATTGGAACATCACATGTTCCTGTCCAAAGTAATGAAGGTATCTATAGGAACATCACATGTTCCGCTCAAAAGTAATAAAGGTATCCATAGGAACATCACATGTTCCGCTCAAAAGTAATGAAGGTATCCATAGGAACATCACATGTTCCGCTCAAAAGTAATGAAGGTATCCATAGGAACATAACATGTTCCTCTCAAAAGTAATGAAGGTATCCATAGGAACATCACATGTTCCTCTCCAAAGTAATGAAGGTATCCATAGGAACATCACATGTTCCTCTCCAAAGTAATGAAGGTATCCATTGGAACATCACATGTTCCTCTCCAAAGTAATGAAGGTATCCATAGGAGCATCACATGTTCCTCTCCAAAGTAATGAAGGTATCCATAGGAACATCACATGTTCCTCTCCAAAGTAATGAAGGTATCCATAGGAACATCACATGTTCCTCTCCAAAGTAATAAAGGTAACCATAGGAACATCACATGTTCCTCTCCAAAGTAATGAAGGTATCCATAGGAACATCACATGTTCCTCTCCAAAGTAATGAAGGTATCCATAGGAACATCACATGTTCCTCTCCAAAGAAATAAAGGTATCCATAGGAACATCACATGTTCCTCTCCAAAGTAATGAAGGTATCCACAGTAACATCCCATGTGTCTTACCAATGTAAATAAGGTATCCATAGGAACATGGGAGCCTCGGTGGCCAAGTGGTCTAAGTAGTTATAACTGTAATCACTAGCCAGTCAACACTGAGGTTGTGAATTCAAACCCCGCTCGTGCGGGTGCACATGACTCCAATCTTTATTGACTTAGGGTTGTCAGTTTTCCTATTGAAGGTCAGTGGTTTTCTCCAGGCACTCTGGCTTCCTCCACCAATACAAACTGGCCGCCATGAAATAGCCAAAGTAGTGCTTAAAAGTGGCGTTAAAACACCAAAAAATCAAATTCAAATCCATAGGTGCACTGCATGCTCCAAATTTACTGGTATCTGATATCCATTGGAATCCAAATTTAGTTGTTCAGTTTGTATTGATGACAGAATTGGCTTTACAATGAACTTTGAACTCAAAGAAATGGATACACATGTTTCAGAAAAATAAGTTTGGTACCTATATCTCTTTTCACACTTTTGTTGTTTTTAAATAATTTTTTAATTTTATTGTAAATGTAACATATTTAAGTTGTCAAATTTTTGTGTAAAAAGGGGAATGACCATTTCAAAACTGTTTTTCAATATTTTTGTTAAAGATTTTCAGAAGGAAACAGAAAAATTATTTATAAAAATGTGGATAGTGTCAAATGTGTATATAGTTTTAAGAAAAATAGAAAAAAAAACAAAAAAATGCATGGGTGATGGTTTTTAATGATTTTAAGAAAAATAGAAAAAAAAAAAAAAAAAAAATATGCATGGGTGATGGTTTTTAATGATTTTAAGAAAAATAGAAAAAAAAAAAAAAAAAATATGCATGGGTGATGGTTTTTAATGATTTTAAGAAAAATAGAAAAAAAAAAAAAAAAAAAATATGCATGGGTGATGGTTTTTAATGATTTTAAGAAAAATAGAAAAAAAAAAAAAAAAAAAATATGCATGGGTGATGGTTTTTAATGATTTTAAGAAAAATAGTAAAAAGAAAAAAAAAAATATATGCATGGGTGATGGTTTTTAATGATTTTAAGAAAAATAGAAAAAAAAAAAAAAAAATTTGCATGGGTGATGGTTTTTAATGATTTTAAGAAAAATAGAAAAAAAAAAGAAAAAAAATGCTTGGGGTTTAATTATATCGTGATGCAGAAATGGGTCCATTATTTTATCTTGAATTTGGGATTTAATTATATCATGATATGGAATGGATACATTCTTTTAACTTGAATTTGGGATTTAATTATATCATGATACGGAATGGATACATTCTTTTAACTGGAATTTGGGGGATTTAATAATATCATGATACAGAATGGATACATTCTTTTAACTTCAATTTGGGATTTAATTATATCATGATACAGAATGGATACATTCTTTTAATTTGAATTTGGGGGATTTAATCATATCATGAAACAGAATGGATACATTCTTTTTACTTGAATTTGGGATTTAATTATATCATGATACGGAATAAATACATTCTTTTAACTGGAATTTGGGATTTAATTATATCATGATATGGAATGGATACATTCTTTTAACTGGAATTTGGGATTTAATCATATCATGAAACAGAATGGATACATTCTTTTTACTTGAATTTGGGATTTAATTATATCATGATACGGAATGGATACATTCTTTTAACTGGAATTTGGGATTTAATTATATCATGATACGGAATGGATACATTCTTTTAACTGGAATTTGGGATTTAATCATATCATGAAACAGAATGGATACATTCTTTTAATTGGAATTTGGGATTTAATCATATCATGAAACAGAATGGATACATTCTTTTAACTGGAATTTGGGGGATTTAATTATATCATGATACGGAATGGATACATTCTTTTAACTGGAATTTGGGATTTAATTATATCATGATACGGAATGGATACATTCTTTTAAAAATAGAAAAAAAAAATATGCATGGGTGATGGTTTTTAATGATTTTAAGAAAAATAGAAAAAAAAAAAAAAAAAAAATGCTTGGGGTTTAATTATATCGTGATGCAGAAATGGGTCCATAATTTATCTTGAATTTGGGATTTAATTATATCATGATACGGAATGGATACATTCTTTTAACTTGAATTTGGGATTTAATTATATCATGATACGGAATGGATACATTCTTTTAACTGGAATTTGGGGGATTTAATAATATCATGATACAGAATGGATACATTCTTTTAACTTGAATTTGGGATTTAATTATATCATGATACGGAATGGATACATTCTTTTAATTTGAATTTGGGGGATTTAATCATATCATGAAACAGAATGGATACATTCTTTTTACTTGAATTTGGGATTTAATTATATCATGATACGGAATGGATACATTCTTTTAACTGGAATTTGGGATTTAATTATATCATGATACGGAATGGATACATTCTTTTAACTGGAATTTGGGGGATTTAATAATATCATGATACAGAATGGATACATTCTTTTAACTTGAATTTGGGATTTAATTATATCATGATACAGAATGGATACATTCTTTTAATTTGAATTTGGGGGATTTAATCATATCATGAAACAGAATGGATACATTCTTTTTACTTGAATTTGGGATTTAATTATATCATGATACGGAATAAATACATTCTTTTAACTGGAATTTGGGATTTAATTATATCATGATATGGAATGGATACATTCTTTTAACTGGAATTTGGGATTTAATCATATCATGAAACAGAATGGATACATTCTTTTTACTTGAATTTGGGATTTAATTATATCATGATACGGAATGGATACATTCTTTTAACTGGAATTTGGGATTTAATTATATCATGATACGGAATGGATACATTCTTTTAACTTGAATTTGGGATTTAATTATATCATGAAACAGAATGGATACATTCTTTTAATTGGAATTTGGGATTTAATCATATCATGAAACAGAATGGATACATTCTTTTTACTTGAATTTGGGATTTAATTATATCATGATACGGAATGGATACATTCTTTTAACTGGAATTTGGGATTTAATTATATCATGATACGGAATGGATACATTCTTTTAACTGGAATTTGGGATTTAATCATATCATGATACAGAATGGATACATTCTTTTTACTTGAATTTGGGATTTAATTATATCATGATACGGAATGGATACATTCTTTTAACTTGAATTTGGGATTTAATTATATCATGATACGGAATGGATACATTCTTTTAACTGGAATTTGGGGGATTTAATAATATCATGATACAGAATGGATACATTCTTTTAACTTGAATTTGGGATTTAATTATATCATGATACGGAATGGATACATTCTTTTAATTTGAATTTGGGGGATTTAATCATATCATGAAACAGAATGGATACATTCTTTTTACTTGAATTTGGGATTTAATTATATCATGATACGGAATGGATACATTCTTTTAACTGGAATTTGGGATTTAATTATATCATGAAACACAATGGATACATTCTTTTTACTTGAATTTGGGTTTTAATTATATCATGATACAGAATGGATACATTCTATAAACTGAATTTGGGGGATTTAATAATATCATGATACGGAATGGATACATTCTTTTAACTGGAATTTGGGATTTAATTATATCATGATACAAAATGGATACATTCTTTTAACTGGAATTTGGAGGATTTAATAATATCATGATACAGAATGGATACATTCTTTTAACTTGAATTTTGGATTTAATTATATCATGACACGGAATGGATACATTCTTTTAACTGGAATTTGGAGGATTTAATTATATCATGAAACAGAATGGATACATTCTTTTTACTTGAATTTGGGATTTAATTATATCATGATACGGAATGGATACATTCTTTTAACTGGAATTTGGGATTTAATTATATCATGATACGGAATGGATACATTCTTTTAACTGGAATTTGGGATTTAATTATATCATGATACGGAATGGATACATTCTTTTAAAAATAGAAAAAAAAAAAAAAAAAAAAAATATGCATGGGTGATGGTTTTTAATGATTTTAAGAAAAATAGAAAAAAAAAAGAAAAAAAAATGCTTGCATGGGGTTTAATTATATCGTGATGCAGAAATGGGTCCATTATTTAATCTTGAATTTGGGATTTAATTATATCATGATATGGAATGGATACATTCTTTTAACTTGAATTTAGGATTTAATTATATCATGATACGGAATTGATACATTCTTTTAACTGGAATTTGGGGGATTTAATAATATCATGATACAGAATGGATACATTCTTTTAACTTGAATTTGGGATTTAATTATATCATGATACGGAATGGATACATTCTTTTAATTTGAATTTGGGGGATTTAATCATATCATGAAACAGAATGGATACATTCTTTTTACTTGAATTTGGGATTTAATTATATCATGATACGGAATGGATACATTCTTTTAACTGGAATTTGGGATTTAATTATATCATGATACGGAATGGATACATTCTTTTAACTGGAATTTGGGATTTAATCATATCATGATACAGAATGGATACATTCTTTTTACTTGAATTTGGGATTTAATTATATCATGATACGGAATGGATACATTCTTTTAACTTGAATTTGGGATTTAATTATATCATGATACGGAAATGATACATTCTTTTAACTTGAATTTGGGATTTAATTATATCATGATACGGAATGGATACATTCTTTTAACTGGAATTTGGGATATAATTATATCATGATACGGAAATGATACATTCTTTTAACTTGAATTTGGGATTTAATTATATCATGATACGGAATGGATACATTCTTTTAACTTGAATTTGGGATTTAATTATATCATGATACGGAATGGATACATTCTTTTAACTTGAATTTGGGATTTAATTATATCATGATATGGAATGGATACATTCTTTTAACTTGAATTTGGGATTTAATTATATCATGATACGGAATGGATACATTCTTTTAACTGGAATTTGGGATATAATTATATCATGATACGGAAATGATACATTCTTTTAACTTGAATTTGGGATTTAATTATATCATGATACGGAAATGATACATTCTTTTAACTTGAATTTGGGATTTAATTATATCATGATACGGAATGGATACATTCTTTTAACTGGAATTTGGGATATAATTATATCATGATACGGAAATGATACATTCTTTTAACTGGAATTTGGGATTTAATTATATCATGATACGGAATGGATACATTCTTTTAACTGGAATTTGGGGGATTTAATAATATCATGATACAGAATGGATACATTCTTTTTACTTGAATTTGGGATTTAATTATATCATGATACGGAATGGATACATTCTTTTAACTGGAATTTGGGATTTTATTATATCATGATACGGAATGGATACATTCTTTTAACTGGAATTTGGGATTTAATCATATCATGAAACAGAATGGATACATTCTTTTAACTGGAATCTGGGATTTAATTATATCATGATACAGAATGGATACATTCTTTTAACT